TGTATACGCCCTTTTTGTAATGCATTTTGTATATTTCATGGCCATTATTGTTATATTTCAATTCTATACTTATATACTAAGACCTGAAAATCCCTACAGGTGCACTCGAGAGTGCCTGGCGTATTTATTTTTGTATACGCCCTTTTTGTAATGCATTTTGTATATTTCATGGCCATTTTTGTTATATTTCAATTCTATACTTATATACTAAGACCTGAAAATCCCTACAGGTGCACTCGAGAGTGCCTGGCGTATTTATTTTTGTATACGCCCTTTTTGTAATGCATTTTGTATATTTCATGGCCATTATTGTTATATTTCAATTCTATACTTATATACTAAGACCTGAAAATCCCTACAGGTGCACTCGAAAGTGCCTGGCGTATTTATTTTTGTATACGCCCTTTTTGTAATGCATTTTGTATATTTCATGGCCATTATTGTTATATTTCAATTCTATACTTATATACTAAGACCTGAAAATCCCTACAGGTGCACTCGAGAGTGCCTGGCGTATTTATTTTTGTATACGCCCTTTTTGTAATGCATTTTGTATATTTCATGGCCATTATTGTTATATTTCAATTCTATACTTATATACTAAGACCTGAAAATCCCTACAGGTGCACTCGAGAGTGCCTGGCGTATTTATTTTTGTATACGCCCTTTTTGTAATGCATTTTGTATATTTCATGGCCATTATTGTTATATTTCAATTCTATACTTATATACTAAGACCTGAAAATCCCTACAGCTGCACTCGAGAGTGCTTGGCGTATTTATTTGTGTAATGCATTTTGTATATTTCATGGTCACTATTATATTTTGGTTATATACTTATATACTAGGTCTTATCCCTAACATTTGCAAATCCGTACATTTCACTCGACTACTTAATTATTTTGGTATATGCTGATTTTGTATATAGTTATTTTCTATATCGCATGGTCACTATTATATTTTGGTTATATACTTATATACTAGGTCTTATCCCTAACACTTGCAAATACGTACATTTCACTCGACTACTTAATTATTTTGGTATATGCTTATTTTGTATATAGTTATTTTCTATATCGCATGGTCACTATTATGCGTATTTATTTTTGTATACGCCCTTTTTGTAATGCATTTTGTATATTTCATGGCCATTTTGTTATATTTCAATTCTATACTTATATACTAAGACCTGAAAATCCCTACAGGTGCACTCGAGAGTGCCTGGCGTATTTATTTTTGTATACGCCCTTTTTGTAATGCATTTTGTATATTTCATGGCCATTATTGTTATATTTCAATTCTATACTTATATACTAAGACCTGAAAATCCCTACAGGTGCACTCGAGAGTGCCTGGCGTATTTATTTTTGTATACGCCCTTTTTGTAATGCATTTTGTATATTTCATGGCCATTATTGTTATATTTCAATTCTATACTTATATACTAAGACCTGAAAATCCCTACAGGTGCACTCGAGAGTGCCTGGCGTATTTATTTTTGTATACGCCCTTTTTGTAATGCATTTTGTATATTTCATGGCCATTATTGTTATATTTCAATTCTATACTTATATACTAAGACCTGAAAATCCCTACAGCTGCACTCGAGAGTGCCTGGCGTATTTATTTTTGTATACGCCCTTTTTGTAATGCATTTTGTATATTTCATGGCCATTATTGTTATATTTCAATTCTATACTTATATACTAAGACCTGAAAATCCCTACAGCTGCACTCGAGAGTGCTTGGCGTATTTATTTGTGTAATGCATTTTGTTTATTTCATGGTCACTATTATATTTTGGTTATATACTTATATACTAGGTCTTATCCCTAACATTTGCAAATCCGTACATTTCACTCGACTACTTAATTATTTTGGTATATGCTGATTTTGTATATAGTTATTTTCTATATCGCATGGTCACTATTATATTTTGGTTATATACTTATATACTAGGTCTTATCCCTAACATTTGCAAATCCGTACATTTCACTCGACTACTTAATTATTTTGGTATATGCTGATTTTGTATATAGTTATTTTCTATATCGCATGGTCACTATTATATTTTGGTTATATACTTATATACTAGGTCTTATCCCTAACACTTGCAAATACGTACATTTCACTCGACTATTTAATTATTTTGGTATATGTTTATTTTGTATATAGTTATTTTCTATATCGCATGGTCACTATTATATTTTGGTTATATACTTATATACTAGGTCTTATCCCTAACACTTGCAAATACGTACATTTCACTCGACTATTTAATTATTTTGGTATATGCTTATTTTGTATATAGTTATTTTCTATATCGCATGGTCACTATTATATTTTGGTTATATACTTATATACTAGGTCTTATCCCTAACACTTGCAAATCCGTACATTTCACTCGACTACTTAATTATTTTGGTATATGCTTATTTTTTATATAGTTATTTTCTATATCGCATGGTCATTATCATATTTCTGACTTATAAATAATAGATAGATAAGATACAATAAAAAAATATCAGTGCGTTTGTACTTACTTAATTATTTTCGTATACGCTTGTTTGGTATGCATTTTATACATTTCACTATTATAATATTTCCGTTCAGTACTTATACACTAGTCCCTAAGACTTAAATATCCGTACATTTGCACTCAGGGGTGCCTTACTAATTATACGCTTATTTTGCACGCATTTTGCATATTACATATTCATTATTATTATATTTCAATTCTATACTTGTGTATTAAGACCTGAAAATCCCTACAGGTGCACTCTAGAGTGCCTTACTTAATTTTTTTAAAAATGTTTGTTTCGTATGTATGTTGTGTATTACATATTGCATATTGCATGGCCATTGTTATATTTCAGTTATATACTAGCTATTATACCCAAGACCTGAAAATCCCTACAGGTGCACTCTAGAGTGCCTTACTTAATTTTTTTGGAAATGTTTGTTTCGTATGTTTGTTGTGTATTACATATTGCATATTGCATGACCATTGTTATATTTCAGTTATATACTAGCTATTATACCCAAGACCTGAAAATCCCTACAGGTGCACTCTAGAGTGCCTTAATTTTTTTGGAAATGTTTTGTTTAGTATGTATGTTGTATATTGCATATTGTATGGCCATTGTTATATTTTAGTTATATACTAGGTATTATCCCCAAGACCTGAAAATCCCTACAGGTGCACTCGAAAGTGCTCAAAAAATAGTGTAGTGTTCACAGCGGCTAATAACTGAACATTTAAATTTACATAATTAGTTTTGAATATGTTTGTTTGGTATGTATGTTACGATAAATGTGCATATTTTGGTGAAAGTACACACTTCCCGGTAAATGTATACATTTACCGGCTCATTTGACAAATGTGAGTTGAACTATTGATCATAGCTATTTATTTTATTCAGCAGTTGTAACAGATATTGCAACTAAAAAAATCTATAATTATTGACTATTAACTATTGACTTATCACTAAGAACTTAAAACTAAGAACTTAAAACTAAGAACTTACAACTACGAACTGACAGCTAAGAACTGCCGACTAAGAAAAGACAGCTGAGAACTGCCGACTAAGAACTTACAACTAAGAATAGACAGCTAAGAACTGCCGACTAAGAACTTACAACTAAGAATAGACAGCTAAGAACTGCCGACTAAGAACTTACAACTAAGAATAGACAGTTAAGAGAACTGCCGACTAAGAATAGACAGTTAATAGAACTGCCGACTAAGAATAGACAGTTAAGAGAACTGCCGACTAAGAACTTACAACTAAGAATAGACAGCTAAGAACTGCCGACTAAGAACTTACAACTAAGAATAGACAGTTAATAGAACTGCCGACTAAGAATAGACAGTTAAGAGAACTGCCGACTAAGAACTGCTGAATATTTAAAATTGAAAATGAAAATGAAAATTGAAAATTGAAAATCGATAATTGAATATTGAAATTTGAACTGTATTCACTATTCACCATTTGCTATTATTTACTCTTCATTCATTATTTATTATTTATATTTATAGGTAAATTTATATTTAAAATTTAAAAGTATGTAAAAGTGTATTTACCAAAACAAAATGGTAAGTGTGACATTTACTGAGAAATGTGTACATTCACCGAAATAAACCGTTATAAATAAAAAAATAAGTAGGATATTGAAACTCAAGATTGAAAAGGACAGAATTGACAAACTTGCTTTCAACCCTTCGCAGTAGGGATCAGGATTAGGTAAGCAAAACTTAGCGCCAGGGTCCCATATGATCCAGGGAGGGTTCGAGATTAGGTAAGCAAAACTTAGCGCCAGGGTCCCGATCTCACCTTCCCCATTCACACAACTTAGATTGCGGAATAATTATTCAACGCAACAAAGAATGCGGAATGTTAAGGGACAACATTGAAGAATTGAAAACTTGCTTGGCAATACTGTTTATAGAAGGAAATTAAATTTCGAAATTGAATGAGAAGTTAATGAATATTACTTTTGAAATTGAAATGAAATACAAAGATAAAAATAAATACAAATATAAAGTTATTTACCGCATGTAGGAAAGAACACTACTAAGACCTGAAAATCCCTACAGGTGCACTCTAGAGTGCCTTACTTAATTTTTTTGGAAATGTTTGTTTCGTATGTATGTTGTATATTGCATATTGCATATTGCATGGCCATTGTTATATTTCAGTTATATACTAGCTATTATCCCAAAAACCTGAAAATCCCTACAGGTGCACTCTAGAGTGCCTTACTTAATTATTTTTGGAAATGTATTTATTTTTGTACACGCCTATTTTGTATGCATTTTGTATATTGCATGGTCAATATTATATTTCCGTCATAAGCTTATATACTAGGTATTATCCCTAAGACATGAAAAACCACACATTTGCACTGTAAAGTGCCTTACCCAATTAATTTTATTCATTGTTTGACCATTATATTTTCGCTATATATATACTAGGTGTTGAAAATAAAAAAAATCCTACCTTCTGTAACATGTTCTTCCATTCCAAGCATAATTTGTCGACTGCTTTTTATCCAAGCTGGAACGTGTAGGCTCATGTAGTAATAACGATATTATAACCTGAAAAATTTTAATTATTAGATTATACACCATGTTAAAACATGTTGGAGTGCGGTGGGTGGTCCTTAATATGGACATTTTTGAATTTCCTTGCTCTTTGATGCAAATGCTTCCAAATTAATAAAAAAAATTCTCTAAAAATTAATATTAAGAGCTAAAACTTTTAGCGATTTTTTTTATCAAATTGGAATCCATTGAGCCACTGGAAGCAAGGAAATTCGAAAATGTCCATATTAAGGACCACTTCAATATATATGTATGTATAATATAATATATGTATATGTATATGTATATTAACAAAGTCTAGTAATCGGGCATAACATCAATAAAACATGGATTTCTTTCAAAAATTTATTTTAAATCCATACGTTTCGGCTATAATCCTAGCCTTCATTCAGTGGAAACTAAAAATAAAATTAAAAACTAAAAACAATTGAATTGGAGTGAAAAGAAAAAATAGTAAATAGTACCTACAATTAACACAAGGCTAGGATTATTGCCGAAACGTATGGATTTAAAATAAATTTTTGAAAGAAATTCATGTTTTATTGATGTTATGCCCGATTACTAGACTTTGTTAATATATATGTCAACATCAAATTCATCATCATATTTATATATATATATATATATATATTATAATATTGTATGTCTGTCATTTGAATATAACGGCCAAGAGTGTCTATCCTGACGTGTATGTGCTCTATGGTGTGTCATATGTAGAGTGTCTGATCCCTTACGGAACAGAAGTATATATCTGTGTGCGAGTCGGTGTCTGGCGGTAACTGGAGTGTTGAACAGTTCGGCGTTGTGTTAATTTGGTGAATTATTAAATGTATTGTATGGAGTAAAAGGTGTTTTATTAATTAATTAATGCTAGAATAAAGCTAGCTTAAAATATATATATATATATATATACATATATATTTTTTTTATAATTTTTATTTATTAGGTTGATTATTAATTATATTAAATTAAATTATTTATTGACAAACTTTATATGCAAAAAAATGCATAAGTCTCAATAAATAATTTTAAAATGTATAAGAATATTAAACAAACATAGATATATTTTGATCATTTATCTGTGGATATATTTATCGTAAATTAGTAACAAATTAGGCATACGACATTTTTAAATATGCTTGCGTGGTTTGTATATCAGAACCATAGGCCTTCAATTATTGTGCTAATTCGCTATGTGTGAACTCAAATTGACTGAAGGGTTTTTAGTGGTCATTTTGAGCACTACTAGAGGCTATTTTAACCGAAATAGTAAACAAATACGCGTGAAATATTATTTTGTTTCAAATTTAAATAAATTAAATAAAAATGAGATACCGAAGTTGTTGTGATTAAAATTTGAATTTATGAAAATAGATGGCAGCACATGTATAAAATGTAAATTGAGAAAACACTTGAGGCATCTGGTTTCATAAATTCGCACTACTCTAGACCAGGGGTCGGCAAGCTTTTAACTGTGGTGTGCCAAGCCACTCTACCAATATGATTCAGGGTGCCGCCTTAATTCTGAACTATAGAACCAGGTTCTAGGGGAGAAGAATTATAACCAAATTTATCTTTTAAACATATTTATTAACTAGTCTAGGCATGGCATCGTGCTTTAAGGCAAATTGCTGGAACTTCCCATACCAAAAATTATTTTTTTTATAAAAGATTAACATTTTTGAAAAAAAAAAATTACTCTGAAAAATTAGATTTTTGAGAAACTATAAATTGTTGACAAAAATTTACTTTTTTCGAAAAAAAGACTTTTTGGAGAAAAGTGTATTTTGAAATATTTTGAAAATTCTGAACTTTTTTTCAAAGCAATCGTACTGCTTTAACTGCATAGAGACGAAATATCGAAGAGTCTAAGCGCCGCGTCGCCGTCTAACGGATAAACATTGGTACGGAACCCATAGGAATGTAAACAAAATTTATACTTATGTCTATAAAGTATCTGATAATTTGATGTGCCTATGTCTAATGATCATTTTTGACCGCCAGATGGCATTTTTTTTAACTTTTTTTACTACTACTATTAGATCTTTGAAACCAGTAGACTTGCCTTCATGAAAATTTGAACAGTTCTTCTTCATTTTAATACAAGTAAAATATTTTTTGAATTATTCAAATCGTACGCTCCGTTCTCTTAAAAACTGAGCTACCGTTTTTGGCACTTTTTGCTTCATATTTCCGGAACGGCTAGACCTGCTTTCGCCAAAAACTAATCAGCACGTCTTCTTATCAATACGAATCGAATGTTTTTTGAATTTGATAGATATATGAAAATTTTCATTTTCGATTTTTTTGCGATTACTATAACTTACCCCACGGGAAGTTAACAAATAACATGAAATTCTAAAATAAACTAAACAATTTTAATGCGAACCTTGTCCCTGTACATTTTTGCTTAACATTACAATATCCGGAGTATAATTTGTAACACACAAGATTCTGAATGTTTAGTTGTTAAACGTCTTCTTTGTGAACTCAAAATATGTTTCATGTGAGAAAAAAATTGTTCACAGAGATATGTGAAACCAAAAGTTGAAAGGAGAGCGCATTAAATTTTCTTTAAACAATTAAATATTTCCGGCAAAGTCATCCAACAATTTAATTTTCCATGGAGTCATCTTTCTGATTTTTTCGTAATTCCTTAAATTTTGTTTTCCATAATTCTGAGGATATTAGTTCGATAATTTCCATTTCAAAATCATCAACACTCATCCCTTCAAAAATTGAAAAATCAAACGGTATAATTGATGGATCTATGAAATCTGGTTTTATGAGGAAGGAATAAGCTTCAAAGTCTTTGCATCTGGAAAATTCATCTTCAAGTGCTTCAACGTAGGTTGAATTACATTAGCGAGCTACATTATAAATAATAAATATAAATTATAAATAATCATAATTAAACATTTTTTCTATTTAAAAATCACTTCGTCTCGATATATTTGCGATTTTCCTGCTTACTTTGTAGAGTGCCATTCAGAACCTCATCGCGTGCCAAGCCTGGCACGCGTGCCGTAGGTTGCCGATGCCTGCTCTAGACCATAACCATGTAACTAATCTCCGAACAAACGCGCGTTTCACCTTTTTGGCCATAGATAAATAAGGATAAATAGATTGCTATGCCTGGCGATTTGACGTTACTTAGATTTAAATTTGAATTTATGAAAATAGATTTGTAGCACATATATAAAATGTAAATTGAGAAAACACTAGTACCATCTGGTTTTATAAATTCACACTACTCTAGGCCACAACCATGGGGAGTTATCTCCGAACAAACGCGCGTTTCACTTTTTTGGCCATAGATAAATAAGCAAAATAGATCTCTATGACTTTCGATTTGACGTTACCTTGATTAAAATTTGAATTTATGATAATAGATTTGCAGCACATGTTTAAAATATAAATTGAGAAAACACTTGTACCATCTGGTTTTATAAATTCACATAAGATTAGATTGAATCTCATATTGTTGATTGCAAAACAAATTTATTTATTTATACCATACCTAATATTTTAATGTATTTTGATTGAGAGTTAGTGTTTCTTCAAATAAAAGTTGCAAAATGTTATGACAATTTCATTTGATGAAGAACTTTCCATACTAATATTGACAAAAGCCATGCGGAGTCAGGCGAATTTCTGTTTTTTTTTTGAGTTTAAAAATAAAAAATTATTTAAAAATAGAAAAAATTGGAATTTGGTGATAATCCTAGCTATAGATAGGTCTATAAACAAGACTCTCTGAACATTTCAAGAGAATCGGTCGATTAAAACTTTGGTACTGAAAAATTCTGTTCTGAGAAAAACGCATTTATGCCTATATCTCCGAAAATAATTCAAATTTTTAAAAACCTTCCCGTACCTATATTCTTAGATAGTTAAACTTTGAACATATGACATAAAAAGATCGATTTTTTTGAATTTCTACACTAGAATTTCCCCTTAAGGCAGAAATATTGAAAAATACAAATTTATTAAAAAATTAATTAAAGAAGAATGCCTCATAAATGAATCCTAGGAATTTAGTTTTCTCTCAGTTTTGATATTAATATATATTTAATTTTTTAAGATCTATTAATTTGTTATTTATTCGTCAAGACTCCTATGCTTTTTTCTTCTTAGTTTCAAAGTTTCTAATATTTTATAATTAAGTCATTGAGTAAATAACATTAGTCGGTCATTTATGCATAATTGTGGAAATATATTAATTAATATTTATCATAAAATCAGTTATAATTTTCATTATTTTATAAAAATATGTTTGTAATATATTTGAAAATGTATCTTCTGCATGTTTTGATTTTATTTGCAATATTAAAAATTATGCAGATTTTGTTTACTGTACTACTCATACAAACCTTCCAAGATGTAGTTCCAGGGGTTTCAATTCACATTTTATACCTGTGCTGCCCTTTATTTTCCTAAATTGAAATTCTAATCAAGTTAGTTTTTCTATGATTATTGTTAAGAAAAAAAAATTCAATAAATGCAAGCCTGAAATATAGAAAAATACAAATTTAATATATAAGTTAAGATTCATTTTAATTGAATGGTTGAAATAAAAATCAGTTATAACAGAGCTTTTTTTTTATTAAAACAGTTTAATTAATACAATGGTGAAATATAGAAAAATAAATATGAATCATAGTGGGTTACTCGACTCCTCCTCTCCAACAATAATAGTTCCTTCAATTTACAAATCTCGAAAAGTCAATGTTTTTTTTTCCTTGGTCATTGTTTGGGGCTGCAATTTTTTTTGGTGGGTGATGAACTCAAAAAATAAAAAATGAGTATAAAATTATTTACTTATTCTAATAATAAAATATTTTTATCATTAAATTTTTTCAATAAGAACTATTCCAAAATTTAGACAAAGCCATTAATCTTAAAAATATTAACTGCATTTCTTTACTTATTTAATTTTACAATTAAGTATTTTTGAAAAATAAACCACTTA